GTGTGTGCTGTGATTGGTTAGATGGGCCAGTGTGTGCTGTGATTGTCACAGCAATGTCATGCCCGTTACCATAGCCGCCTGCGAGCTTCAGTGTAAATATTGCGTCAAAATCAAATCAATTTGAGCGCGATTTAAACCTGGATGATTATAAACACTCTAAGTCCGTCTGCCTTGGGAAAGCTAGCGTGTCTCCGACATAGTGATGACACTCGTTGCCTTCTCTAGAGCAGCTCAACCAGGTCTCGTCCCATTCGTCGATATTTGTGATATCACAAATCCCGGAAAATATGTGTTGTAGTCCAAACGAGTCGTTCTTTGTAGTTTTCGAAAAGTGATTTCTCTTAAATAAAATATCTCCTTTTGAAGTGGACTTTGAGCTTTGTAACTTTGCAGATCTTTGTTATGCTCAAACAGCAACATTACAGACTAACTAAAGTTGAAAAAGTGAAAAAGCAAAATAGGACCCCTTTAATTTCATCCCACACACTTGTAAATATAAACAAGGCATTGGATTGCTTACGCAGCCGTGTCTGTTGTGCTTTTTGGAAGCAAACAGGTTGAAAAGACTGTAGGTAGTGAATGAATGAACACTGTGAAAATTATTTGGTCTTGTTTTCCAGCACAAATATCTAAACATTCTTAAACTAATTTATATTTACTTGAGAAGCAAAATGACATAAGATTTCAGAAAACAAGACTTAATGTCTTCAGTCATTATGCATCTCAAAGAATGGTGACATTTGAACCGGAAAATGACAAAAATACTCAGTAAGAAAATCACTGTTTACAGTGAATGATTGCATTATTTCTGTGATTGCACAATCCTGGAGGGACTGAAATGTGCTCACTACGTATTGAAACGCAGCCTCTGTATCACTTTAAAAAGCAGCAGTCATGGTGAATAGCAAGTGATTGTCTCACATCATGCGCGTGTTTAGAGAAGGAGTCAGCACTGCCCATCATGGCTGCTGTCCTCTCCTCCAGCTCGCCTAGTTTCTGTCCTCTCTCGTCCAGAGCTATCCTCGCCCGTGCCAACTCTCCCACCACACCGGATGCAGCCCCCTTCATGCCCTCAATACCACCTGGACCTGGGATGTGCTGCGCCAGGCTGCGTGAAGCTTTACCAGCAGCCACCTCTCCGACTGCAGGCAAGAACAAACAAGAAGGATATGATTCAGTGCCAAAATACATTTTTCAAGAAAGTACAAATTCTTAAATAACACTTTGTAGTGAAACTTAGTATCATTCCTTTTAGAGTCATAGCATAAATTGAAAGCTTGTCTACCTTTTATCGGTGATAACCACTGACGAAAGTGTGTTCATTTCTTTTGCATCTCATATTTTGCCTGGCTGTTTTCACTTTTTGATGAGGAAGGAGTTGTCTATATCAGTGGTTCCCAACCCTGATCCTGGAGGCACCCCAACACTGCACATTTTGCATGTCTCCTTAATCAAACACACCTGATTCAGGTCATCGGCTCATTAGTAGACTCCAAGACCTGAAACTGGCGTGTCAGAGAAAGGAGACATGCAAAATGTGCAGTGTTGGGGTGCCTCCAGGACCAGGGCTGGGAACCACTGGTCTATATGGTGCATTCATTACCATAATTGTATTGGCCAAAATTAGTTGTTTTTTTAAGTAATAGTGCTGAAAGCAGGTTAATTGATGCAAATTACATGTAATGTTATGCAAAAAAAATCTGAATTAACATTAATGAGAATTTGCCTAGAAAAAAATTCCTAAAAAATAAAATCCTGAAAAATAGGTTTCATTTTCTTTATGCAAAATTAGAGATTTCACAATAGATCTTCATTTGATTTAGGGATGAAATATGACCCATTTTCAATTACGTGACTTTGTGACATTCATTATATTGTTTATACCATACTTAGAAATAAAGGTTATTTATTTCTTTCTGGCAAAGGTTAAAGGTTCTTTAGGAACCTTTCCATTCCACAAAATGTTCTTTATATTTTGGAAAAAAGGTTCTTTAGATGATTTAACTGTTCTTCCCACTTTTTAAGTGTACTGTACATTAAAATGTTTTGATAGTAAACATTTAAAAAGTTTGATTGATTAAAAACAGTATAGATGTCAGACTAAAAGAATGATAAACAATCAGACAGAATTTTAGATCGCTTCTATTTAAGACATTTCAGAAAAACAGATTTTTATGTTTGAGTGCCAGATTAATGCTTACACAGATCCTCTCTGTCTAAGGACTGAGTCCCGCCTCCAAATAAGCCCTTGAAGAAGCCTCGGTTTGGAGCCTCTGGTGTCTCCACTGGAGTAAACAGCTCTCCGAGCATCTCCTGCAAAAATGAGCACCTCAAAATAAATACCAAAATGTTTACAGGTATGATAAAGCATAATGTACACAGTCTGACCTGCAGGTTATCACAGGTTTCCTGGCTATAGGTGATTCTTTGGATCTCAGTGGGCGATGTGAGGTACAGGGCTTGGCCTTGGTTTGAGAAACAGAAGGTTCTAGCTATCCTCATGTCTGTCAGGGGAAGGTAGTTCATATCTAGCAGTGGCCGCAGGCTGGGCAAACTAAAAAAAAAACAGACGGTTTACCGACTTATGAATCAAAAAACAAAATATTCAATGGCTTTGAATATCAGGTTAATCATGTTACCTGAGGGTCATGATATGGCCATTGGCACAGAAGCAAGCGATGCCGACCCCTGCAGTCATCGTCACCACATCTGCTCTAAGTACGAAGGAGGTCTCTGTGATGTTGTGTTCATAGACACAGTTTTGGGAGGGCATCGCCACCACCTTAGCCTGTTTCTCTGAGCAGACCACGGCGTACTGACAGTCCGGGTTCTCCTGAGAAGAAGGCGGCGAGGTGGGCCAGCGTCTCCGTGGCCGTTCTCTCTCCTCCTCAGGGGTGTTGGGCTCAAACCAGGACTCGTAAACATGGGGCAGAAGGGTCCCGCTGGCATCCAGCTGGGCCATGCGCAAAATACCTCCCTTCAAGCGCACTACTGGACCTGTGATGACAAGAAGTCAAGTTAAATGTATTTGTATAGTGCTTTTCAAAATACATATTGTTTCAAGAAAGCGTCATCAAGAAAGTCATGATGTTGATGTTTATAGTATCAGAACATCTTCATGCCTTATAGTTGCATTCATCAGATCTGAGTGACAATATAGTTACATTCTGCGATGATAAAAGCAATTAAAATTTGATATATAAGTGTACTGTATGTATGCGGATAAAGTAGGACATATATATCCAACTTTATATAAACAGCTAGGCAATAATATAGTTACGCTTCGTGACAAAATAAACAATCACATAGCCGAGATTTGCTATATAGTATACTGCGTTTACTGTATACATTATATGCAAATAAAGCTGTATATACTTATATACGCAACTTTATATAAAGAGCTGGCCGATAGTTGCATTATACAAGATTTGCTATATAGTATTATATTGCTTTACATGAATATACTGGATGTATGCAGGTGTGAAACCAACAGGTGTGCCTTTTTCCCCATCAACCACTGTTTCCATCCAAAGTTACCAATTGAATTTAAAGCTGCGAATGTAACTTGTGCGAAAATTGTAATATTGCATGGAACTTGTTTCCATCCCATGTGTTGAGTTCCACACAAGGGTGAAAAAGTTCTTCACACATATTTTGCTCACAATCAATTTGCAATTTTGACTTACCGAGTTTGGGTTGAAAAGTGACTTCTGTGTGAGAAGTGCTTCATACATTGGTACACTATTGACAATAAAAATTTCACTTTTTTGCCAATTTCAGTTATCCAAGTTATATAATCACATGAATCTATATGCTGAATTCATCACAGTTTATGTGCATTTTGTGGAATGGAAAGGTTCCTTGGATGTTAAAGGAAAAAGGAAAAAATGATCTGCCTCAATGGAGTGCATACATTTGTATGCACTTTTTAAGATTTTATATGTGTATTGGCAATTCTATCTGGTGTTTTTATGCAATTTTCCAAAATGTGTGTAAAAATATGTGGATGGAAACAACTAATAATAGGTACATCTTACCACAGAAAGAGATGCCCACAGGCTGTTGCATCCTCTGCTCTGGTGTGGAGGGCACAGTGAAGGCGATGGCCAGCATGCTGCCCAATGAGGTGCCCACCCACAGGCTGGGCACTGCCAGAGTCTCGCTCTTCTTGGACAGGGAGTCACAAAAGTAGAAGGAAGAAATGACCTCACGTGACTCTCTGTCAATGCTGGTCACACTGGAGCTGCGTGAGCGGCTGAACGAGTTGTCCCTGGCGTCTGAGGACACGGTGACCCATCAGGGACAAAAAGACAATAATAAGAGGACAATTAGCATGACTTTTTTTTAAATCAAGTCTGAACCACCTCAGGACACCTGAAATCAAAGGACAAAAACAGTCAAGCCATTAAGCAGTTAATATATGAATGATACATTCTTAGTAAATACGTAGTGTTAATATAAACTTTGTGTTTCATTGTAGCGTGTGATGTGCAAGACATACAGGAACTGCACACAAACCATTGCCATGAAATCACCAGAACAATTCCATTCAGTATGAACAAAACTCGCAATCACCAATTACAGAACATTGTTATGCTGTTTTATTTTCACTCTCAGAGACCCAGATGCATTCAGATATCTTTCTGGCAAGCCTATAATTTTAGTGTAAATACACATTCTAAAAGCAATGCAAAGACGAGTGTCACCAAAACATGACTGGATCATGTTTCTCCCCAAAATCAAAAGAAAAATAATCTATTTACTAAAAGCATAAAACTTAATAATATTTTGGGGTAAAATATGATATTCATCTATAAAATGTCTGAAATTTGTTAGTAAACTTAAAAAAGGGAAATATCAACTAATCCAAACTAGAGAACTTAACACAGGTTATTGCTGGTTTGATGATGTTTTATGTGTGTATTTTGGGATGATGAATGAATGTTTCTATATTCCACTAATAATATTAAACTTTAATCTTTAATCTGTTTAAAATCAGACACTGAAAAGAAAAAAAAAAGGTGAGGGAATGTTTCAGTTTCACCAAAACCATAATTGGACGGCATCAAGACAACGGGCAAACCCCACACAGCAGGCTCCAGTAAGAGTTAGTATGAACCAGACCAGGTCAGGTCAGCCTAAAATAGGGCCACTTACTGGGGTCACAGAATGAGGTCTCACGGAAAGATTCTGCGCGTTTCTTCTTCATTTCCTTCACTGAACTCGTTTCTTACCAGAGAGAGAGCAGTGACGCTGTAACCTCCTTTCTATACGCAGAACAGCGTACATTATAACTAGCTAGCACATACATTGCACCTAAAAACTTTTGTACACTTTTCCATTCATGCATGCCAGTCTATATTCTATATAGCCCTATTTTATTGGTCTATAACACTTGAAGAATGGTAGTGCATGATATCCCGAAAACATGATTTAAAGTTATTTGTTGTAGGGGTGGGTGATATGACTAAAATCTTATAGCACGATATCAGTAATTTTATTTCATGTAGCAATATACAGTATATCATGATTTATTTATTTTTTACTTTAAATAAGGTCTTTATATCATCAACATTTTTGATACCAAAGATGTCTTAATTCTTGCCACGAGTGACCATATATATATACATATATATACTGTATATATATATATATATATATATACAGTGGGGCAAATAAGTATTTGATACACTGCTGATTTTTCAAGTTTTCCCACTTACAAAGAATGGAGAGATCTGTAATTTTCATCGTAGGTACACCTCAACTGTGAGAGACAGAATCAAAAAAAAAATCCAGAAAATCACATTGTATGATTTTTAAATAATTAATTTCCATTTTATTGCATGAAATAAGTATTTGATCACCTACCAACCAGCAAGAATTCTAGCTCTCACAGACCTGTTAGTTTGTCTTTAAGAAGCCCTCCTATCCTCCACTCATTACCTGTATTAATTGCACCTGTTTGAACTTGTTACCTGTATAAAAGACACCGGTCCACACACTCAATCAATCAGACTCCAACCTCTCCACTATGGGCAAGACCAAAGAGCTGTCTAAGGACACCAGGGACAAAATTGTAGACCTGCACAAGGCTGGGATGGGCTACAGGAAAATAGGCAAACAGCTTGGTGAGAAGGCAACAATTGTTGGCGCAATTATTAGAAAATGGAAGAAATTCAAGATGACTGTCAATCTCCCTCGGACTGGGGCTCCATGCAAGATCTCGCCTCGTGGAGTATCAATGATCCTGAGAAAGGTGAGGGATCAGCCTAGAACTACACGGGAGGACCTGGTCAATGACCTGAAGAGAGCTGGGACCACAGTCTCAACGGTTACCATTAGTAACACACTACACCGTCATGGATTAAAATCCTGCAGCGTGGGCAAGGTCCCCCTGCTCAAGCCAGCACATGTCCAGGCCCGTCTGAAGTTTGCCAAAGACCATCTGGATGATCCAGAGGAGGCATGGGAGAAGGTCATGTGGTCAGAGGAGACCAAAATAGAAGTTTTTGGTATAAACTCCACTCGACGTGTTTGGAGGAAGAAGAAGAATGAGTATAATCCCAAGAACACCATCCCAACCGTGAAGCATGGGGGTGGAAACATCATGCTTTGGGGGTGCTTTTCTGCAAAGGGGACAGGACGACTGCACCGTATTGAGGGGAGGATGGATGGGGCCATGTATTGCGAGATTTTGGGCAACAACCTCCTTCCCTCAGTAAGAGCATTGAAGATGGGTCGTGGCTGGGTCTTCCAGCATGACAATGACCCCAAACACACAGCCAGGGCAACTAAGGAGCGGCTCCGTAAGAAGCATTTCAAGGTCCTGGAGTGGCCTAGCCAGTCTCCAGACCTGAACCCAATAGAAAATCTATGGAGGGAGCTGAAACTCCATGTTGCCCAGCGACAGCCCCAAAACCTGAAAGATCTGGAGAACACCTGTATGGAGGAGTGGGCCAAAATCCCTGCTGCAGTGTGTGCAAACCTGGTCAAGAACTACAGGAAGCGTCTGACCTCTGTAATTGTAAACAAAGGTTTCTGTACCAAATATTAAGTTCTATTTTTCTATTGTATCAAATACTTATTTCATGCAATAAAATGGAAATTAATTATTAAAAAATCATACAATGTTATTTTCTGGATTTTTTTTTTGATTCGGTCTCTCACAGTTGAGGTGTACCTACGATGAAAATTACAGATCTCTCCATTCTTTGTAAGTGGGAAAACTTGAAAAATCGGCAGTGTATCAAAGACTTATTTGCCCCACTGTATCTATCTATCTATCTATCTATCTATCTAT